GGGAATGTGGGAGAGTGCTTGGCTAGGATGCAGGAAGCCCCGTTTCCATCCCCAACACCGCACAACCCCAGCATAATGGTGCACATCATACTTGTCACACGTGGGTGGTGGAGGCAGGAGGATCAAGAATTCAAAGTCATCGTCAGCTACTTACAGAATTTGAAGCCAGCTGGGCATGGGACCGCATGCCTGTACTCTCAACCCTCAGGAGACAGAGGCAGGTGAATCTCTGAGTTTGAGGCCAGCCTGGGCTACATGAGGCCATCTCAGACAGGAGGTCACTAGCAGATACTGCAGCTGGGTAATCAAAGAAGGGACAAATGAACACAGCCTCAGGGAACCCAAGTCATCCTCACTTGAAGTTGATATCAAGACAACTGCAAAGGGCTGCCATGGTGCCCTTGGTCAAAATAAGCACGCCTGGGGGCCAGTCAGTGGGTCCCTCCCCTTGGATCTGCCAAGAGGAGACAGCATCTGGAAAAATGAAACCTGGACAAAACGCAAGACTGAGCGCCGATATGTCTCCAACTAAACATTAAAAGGAAGACTTGAAGTTGGGGGGGGGCGCGCACACACACACACACACACACACACACACACACACACACACACACACACGGGCGCACACCTTTAATCCCAGCACTCAGGAGACAGAGACAGGCGGGTCTCTGTGAGTTCGAGGCCAGCCTGCTGTACAGAGCGAGATCCAGGACAGCCCAGGAATGTACAGAGAAACCTTCTCTCAAAAAAACAAAACCAAAAGAGACTTAAGAAGAAGTGGCAGAGGCATGCTAAACCCGAAATAAGATCTATTTCCTGTTCTTCTGACACTTGGAGAAAAACGTGACGAAGAATAGAAGAACGCAAGAGCCGGACGTTATGGAAAGGGACTTTGAAATGCCATCTTCTGCCTAAGACACAGCCGCTGCAATCTGGAACTCAAGATGGCTGCTGCTGCGGCTGCTGCGGCTGCTGCGGCTGCTGCGGCTGCTGCGGCTGCTGCGGCTGCCTGTGCAGGATCTGCACAAAAATGGGCCTCGCAACAGTCAGGCTGTGGCGGCATATGCCTTTAATCCCAGAACCTGAGAGGCAGAGGCAGGTGGATCTCTGCATATAGTAAGTTCCAGGCCAGCCAGGGCTACGGCAGTGAGACCCGGACCCCACCCAACACCCCTAAAAATGTCGTCAGGCGGAGGTAGTGGAGGAGGAGGTTGAGGGAGGGTGGATGAGGCCACCTTCACCACCCAACTATTTGTTACTAGAAGATGCAGGAGAGGGGAGTCTTTCCCTCCAGTTGTGTATCCACTGGAGACCCCACCAGGCTCCAATGGGCAGTTCCAACCCAGTGCTCACACAGATGGTCACAACAGGTCACAAAACAAAGCCCAAATCCTGAACCTGAACAAAGGACAGGTCGGGAGGAGAGGAGGTTGACTGGGATGAGAGTGACGAGGGTCGGGGAGAGCGGAAGCAGAATGGAGTCCATGCATGAATGGAATAGTCAAGGACAGGGTTAGTATGACAGGGAAAAGGCCCGAAGGGAGAGGAGCATGGAGAGAGCTGGTGTGTGATGAACGCATTGCTGGCCGAAATCCGCAGGGAAGGTGGAGAAGAGGCAGGAAGGACCGTGGTGTAGGAATGAGCAGACAGAGCAGAGGAGTGGAGCAGGCCAGAGGACAGAGGCTCACAGGGCCTGTTAGGAACTGGGCCAACCACCACAGGCCATGGACAGTGCTGCCGCTGTTCTTCTTATAGAAAGCTGGTTGGGCCCTAGGGCCCATCTTCTCCCCACTAGGCCTTAGGGATCTTTAGCAACAGTGGCTGGAATTTACTCATTCATCCCAGTACCCTGAAAGCTCCACTGAGGTTCCCTGAGCCTCCTAACCGATTCTCTCCCTCCTGAGAGCATGGCTGCCCACTGGAGACCACTGGATACTTGAGTGAAACTCATAGCGTAAACAAGAATCAAGGACCAAAACAAACCAACAACAAAAAACCCAAATCAAAATTAAGATCAAATTTGGAGGGGGCAGGAAGATGGTTCAGCGGTTCAGAGCACTGGCTGTTCTTCCAGAGGTCCCGAGTTCAATTCCCAGGAACGACATGGTGGCTCACAACTGTCTGCAATGAGATCTGGTGCCCTCTTCTGGCATGCAGGCAAACACGCAGGCAAAACACTGTATACATAATAAATAAATCTTTTTTTTTAAATCTGGAAACAGCTTTCAAAGGCTTGAGTGTTGGGCAGGAGGCAGTCAAGTGCGTAGTGTGCTTGCCACGTGAGTGTGAGGGCCTGAGGCAGATCTCCGAAGTCATGGAGCCGGCGCACGTCTGTAATCTGTGTGCCTATGCAGAGGTGGGAGGTGGAGGCAGGAGACTCCCTAAAGAGACTGGGCTGCTAACCTGGGGTGAGCAGCAGTAGCAGCAGCAGCAGCAGCAGCAGCAGCAGCAGCAGCAGCAGCAGCAGCAGCAGCAAGAAACGGCTTCAAAAGAAGGTGAAAGGCCCAGTCCCTGTGGGTGACCTCTGACCTGCACACGCATGAGGTCATACCTGCACACACATACGTGCACTCACAATCATGTACATACACATTCCCACATCATACACGAAGATTTTAAAGATGTCTAACATCTTGGAAAGTCAACGTATTGGGTAACACATTAAAAAAAAAAAGAGCTAAAGACAGAGCTTTTGTACACAGGCAAGCATGCTCACACACACACACACACACACACACACACACACACACACACACACACAGAGGAAAGCATATGCACATACACAGGCAAGCATGCTCTCTCTCTCTCTCTCTCTCTCTCTCTCTCTCTCTCTCTCTCTCTCTCTCTCACACACACACACACACACACACACAGGCAAACATACACACAAGCATGCACACACACACAGTCAAGCATGCTCACACACACACACACACACACACACACACACACACACACACACAGCCAAGCATGCTCACACACACACAGCCAAGCATACACACACATGTGCACACTCTCTCTGTTATCCTCACCACCAGAGTCTGAGGGTGAAATCAGGAAACGGTGGCCTAAGACTGTTACCCTAGAGCACACCGGGACCAGAGCCGCACAGGAGAGCAAGGCCACAGGCTCCCATTCCAGCACTTCTCAACGGCCAGAAGAGACGCTGATGTCAACGAGTTTAAAAAGTAAACTACCAACGTTTGGGTCAGCACGACGGCTCAGTGGGGGGAGGCATTTGTCACCAAGCCCCACGGCCTGAATTCAACCCTGGGATCCACATGGTGGAGGAGAACTGGCTCCCTCAGTTGTCCTTGGACCTCTCCACAGATGCTGGGAGACATGAGCGCATGCCTGTGAGCACACACAGAGAATATAAAGGTAAAAGTGTAATTAAAAAAAATGCCCTCCTGTGCATATAACCCACATACATGCACAAAATAAAACCCGAAATACTCACTAATGTGTGCATGCCCGTGACTGCAACAGAGGGTAACTTCAGGGATATCTGTTCTTCCTTCCACACGGGCTCCAGGGGCAGAGTTCAGGTCGTCGGGCTTGTGTGGCAAATGCTGGTTACACACGCTAAGCGTCTACGGTGCGTATCAGAGTGCAGCTCCTAGATCAGCACAGGAACTGTGTATTTCAGTGATCATCGTTTCCCTCGAATTTATTCATTTAACACTTATTTCCTTTTATTAGTGTGTGTGTGTGTGTGTGTGTGTGTGTGTGTGTGTGTGTGTGTGTGAGCACATGCACACCACAGCACACGTGTAGAGGGTCAGAGGGCAACTTTCAGTTCTGTTCTTCATGCCTGTGGATCTCGGAGTCTGAACCCAGGTTGTCGGTTTGGCGACAGTCTCCTTTACTCAGTGAGCCATCTTGCCAGCCCGGATTAAATTTGGTTTTGGCCAATGAGATGGTTTGGTATGTAACAGTGCTTGCCAAAGAAGCCTAATGGCCCAAGTTTGACCCCAGAACCTGTGTACAGGTGGAAGGAGAGAACCGACTCCACAAACTGTCTGCCCTTTGACCTCCCTGCACACACTGTGGCGCTGGTGCCCACACATACCTATCACGTACACACAGACACACACATGAAATAAATCTACATACCACAATTTATCTAGCTTAATAAGTACATTTCCATCAGTGAAACCAAGATGGATTCATCTACTAGGCAGTGTAATTACCTTGATGCTTTACATGTGTATGAATAGTACATGTATGTGGCATGTGTGTGCAACTATGTTCACAAGAACAGAGACCAGAGGAAGAAGGATGTCTCGGGCTCTGTCATCCTCCACCTCATCCCTTTGAGACAGGATCTCCACTGGACCAGGGGATGGCTAGTAACCATCAGCAAGCCCCAGCCATCCTCCTGTCTCCACTCCCACAGCACTGTGGTTACAGACCTGGCTTTTTCTATCTGTGTGGGGATTCAAACCCACGTCATGCTTTCATAGCATGTACTTTTAATTTTTAAAAATGATTTATTCTCACTTTATGTGCACTGGTATCTTGCCTACATGTAGGTCTGTGTGAAAGTGTCAGATCCCTTGGAACTGGAGTTACAGGCAGTTGTGAGCTGCCACGTGGGTGCTGGGAATTGAACCCGGGTCCTCTGGAAGAGCAGCCAGTGCTCTTAACTGCTGAGCCATCTCTCCAGCCCCTTAGCATGGCTCTTACTCACTGAGCCCCCTCTCTAGCCTCACGTGCATGTTTTTTATGTCAGCAAAATCTTTAACTGATGGGGCTGTTAGCACTCGAGTGTAATCATCTTCAAGGCTTTATATTTTAAGGAGGATGGAGATGTCTCCCAAAGGAGAGATGAAGTTACAGTTATTGCTTATGTTTACGGTTGTGTTTCCCAGCCCGTGGGATTCACTGAAGTAATGCTTGTCTGATACCGTAGCACAATAACGACTACCCGCTAATTCCTCTCCATGAGCATTCCGTGTGGCGGCGGCACCCAGGCAAAGGGGCAAAATCCTGAAAAGTGTATTTTGCATTTTTTTTTTTTATTTAAAAAAGCCCATGATTCTTTGGAAGTGACACAAGATCGGTTTCCAGGGATCAGACCTTCATTCCCACAACATCTGAAAATCACCCAGGCGAAGGGCTCCTGCTCTCCCCACCCAGATTCACGTTCGGCACCTAAACATGAAATGTTCACTTCTGAAAGACGGGAGGAGTGTGTGTGCTCAGTGGCAGCCTGCTGTCCAGTGTCCCCTTCCAGATAACCAGGGAGTGGGCTCCAGCCTGTGGACCTGGCTCATCTCAGTGCCATCAGAACCAGCTGCTGGGAGCTGCAGGTGAAGGCCTTCCCCTACTTGTGAATTGGGAGTTACCCAGTGGGTGTCCGGAAAGGGAGCAGACGGGCCAGGGCTGGCACTCGCTTTATGTTCTGGGACATAATTCGAACTGGTCACATTTTTCAAAAGAAAGAAAAAGAACAGAATAATAGGACTGCCTGTTCCCTGCTGGCGGAGCGGAGTGGAACCCAGGGATAAGGCTGGTGTGGGAGGGGAACGGAAGATATGAACACGACCCAGTCAGAAAAAGCAAGCCCGCTATGAGGACAGGCCTACATCCCCCCAAAGAAAGTTCCCTCACTACACAGGGTGCTGAGGAGAGAAAGCCCACGGCCAGCACCTGGCTGGCATTTAAATACAAAGAGAACAACACCCCACTTTCCCTTCAAACGCCAGGAAGCTTGATTCAGCCTATCTGGCCCAAGTGATGTTCATCTTTCTAATTCTGCTTCCAAGCCACCGAAGTTTATCTTTACAAAAAAAAAAAAAAAGAAAGAAAGAAAGAAAAGAATCCTTTTGTTTTTTCAGTATTACCAGAGCTTAGATTTTTCTGTGTACTTCTAAACTGATAAGAACTGACAAAGGGTCTTACCAGAGACCCTTTTCTAAAACCTAAGAAAATAAGACATAAATTTTTTTCTTTTAGAGACAGGCTCTTGCTAAGTAGCCCAGGCTGGCCTTGAACTCAGGCTACCCTCCCTGCCTTACACCATGCCCAGCTAAAATGAGGCATTTTCATTTTCAAACAAAAGATGGTCGCGTCCTAAAACTAGGGAGAATGAGATACTGTGGCAATACTTCCTCTTGGCATCCCAACTCAGCTGTCTGGGATCTCCAGGTCCCAGAGCTGGTGGCTGTCATGGTTGGGGTGTGTGTGTGGGGGGGGGGATTCTCAAAGCTCCTGCCGAAGTCAGCAGATCTACCACACAAAGGTGACTTCTGCCAGCCACTGATACACAGACGTCTGTCCCATTAAAGAAGTGACGGTGAATGCAGCTGTGGAGAGCGAAGCCAGGCTGGAGTCGCCTCTGGCCTCATGCTCCGCAGCTCCGGCTCTGCGCTCCGTCGTTGGCCGGCTCACGGCTCACAGCAAGCAGCATCGCTCTCTGAAACTCTTCTTACTCTTGCTGCTCTTCCTGCCGTTCTTGTCCTTGTTTTCCGACATCTTCTTTGCTCGGATTTCTCTCATCAGATCAAAGAAGACCTGGCGGGGGAGGGGAGAAAGGGAGAAGGAGTAGAGGAGCAGCTCAGTGCACTTGGATCTTATGGCATAAAGCTCAAGTGTGCATTCATTCATTCATCATTCATTCATTTGAGGTAGAGGCTCCTGTAGCCCAAGCTGGCCTCCAATTGACTGTGCGTGGCCAGGAGCCCCTGGTCCTCCCTGGGTTGGGTCACATGGCACTGGCGATGGAACCCCAGGACAACTGAGTCCATCCCCAGTCCCCAAGCTTACTTCTATGAGCCCGGCCCAATTAAAAACAAAGTATCAACAATAAATAAATAAACAAAGCAGCTTTAGTGAAACAGCCCTCCTTCTCCCAAGGGCAGTGGGCACCTGTGCGTCTACACTTCCCATTTCCAGAAAAGCTAATGGGCAGGCGAGGTGGCTCATGGGGTAGAGCCCCTTGCCATCCAGCCTGGTGACTTGGGTTCAATAGTTGAGACACTCATGGTGACGGAAGGTCCTGGCTCCCACAAGTTGTCCTCTGACCTCCACACATATGACTGTATGAATATGTACACACATGCACACCCACACACACACCACATATGTGCACACACACCACACATATGCACACATCCACACACACCATACACACCACACACACACACACACACACACACACCATACACACCACACACACACACACACACACACCACACACACACACACCACACATATGCACACATCCACACACACCATACACATTGACACACACACACACACACACACACCACATATGTGCACACACACCACACATATGACTGTATGAATATGTACACACATGCACACCCCCCCACACACACACCACATATGTGCACACACACCACACATATGCACACATCCACACACACCATACACACCACACACACACACACCACACATATGCACACATCCACACACACCACACACATTCACACACACACACACACACACACACACACACACACACACACACACACATACACACACACACCACAAAGGAACAAAAAAAAGAAAAGAAAAGGCAAGTGTCTGCTTTGCTCCCTGACACCTCATTTGACCACAAGGGCTAGGGTACCACTGCCAGTGATGGCCCCTGCCCAAACCCTACTTTCAAAGCCTGCAGAGGCGAATCTGGGAAAGCAAGGGATGGGAAGTAGGAAGGCAGGTTCCTGCGCTGGAAAGCTGTAGAGAAGAGGGAAAGAGAGGTCTTGTCCCAGCATTCCTCTTCACCTACACTCTGCCCCACACCTCCCTGCCCCCACCCCGCCCCTTCACCCCCAACCCCATTCCACTGCCAAGAGGAATTTTATCAAGAAAGACAAGCCACTGTATTATCTAGACAGGCGTTATCATTTGTCAGTGAGGTTTGGGTTTTGCCCTCTGCTACCAACAATTACCAAGGGGCTGATTACTCTCCAGCAGACAAAATATGTTGGCTGCAAAGACACACTGGAGATTTCCCACAGAAGCTGGAAGGGTGACAAGGAACACAGGCTTTTTTATCGCTCCCAGCTCTGAGATCTGATGCTCAGACACAGACCAAGGTGAAAATGGAGTCTGAGGGCTGGGGGTGTGGCTCAGCTGATGGAGCACCTGTCGAGCGTGAGCAAGACCCTGGGGAAGGATCCCCAGCACGGCGGTGCACACCTGTAATCCCAGCACTCAGGAGGCAGAGGCAGGGGGACCAGAAGTTCAAGGTCCTTCTCGGCTACAGAATGAGCTGGAGGCTAGCCTAGGGTAGATGAGACCCCATCATTTTTTTTTTAAATAAAGAAAATTTAAAAAAACAAACAAATAAGAAAGAAAAATACAAGTCATGTGTGATGCCACAGATCTGGAAAGGTTCAAAATTCAGAGTCATCCTGGACTATATAACAAATTTGAGGCCAGCCTGGGCTGCTTCAAAAACAAAGCAGGGCAACCCAGCTCTTCTGGTGTGGCACACCACATGAGCTTACCCCGAGCCCCAGGCACAGGGAAGGGAATCCCAAGTGCCTCAGGCTGACCTCTACACCCCTGTTGCCAGCCACAGCCATAGGTCAAAAGTGATGGACTTGTTTCATCCTGTGCTAAAAGGCAGGGGAGATGTGTGGGTGCATTCCACTGAAAATGGTACCCACATTGTTCCTGGGCTGAGCTGAAAGTGTTTACCCAAGAAAACAGTACTGCCCACCTGTTAAAAGTTCCCGCTGGGTCTTGCCTGGCAGGTGAGAGTTTGTCCAGGGAGAGGAGGGGAGATAATGATGTGTAACACCCCCGACCACAAGATACCCCAGAGATTCATCGAGTCCCATCCCCTCAAAGGCAGCATCAGCATTTTCATGTTGAGAAAGTCTCTGCTTTGTTTTGTTGTTGTTCTTTAGACAAGGTCTCCTTATGTGGACCAGGCTGGACTTGAACTCACAGAGATCTACCTGCTTCTGCCTTCTGAGAACTGGGATCAAAGGCCTGTGCTACCATCATCAGACAGTCTTCTTGGGCTTTAAAAGATAAAAGGCGTGGGAGGCAGAGGCCAGCCAGGACTACACTGGGCGGCCACGTCTCAAACGTGTACCCACCTCCTCATCCAGAGAAGATGAAGGCTACCTGGATGCCCCAGTGTTTCCCCCAGCTAGGAACTGGCAGGAAGAGAAGAATGGAAGTCTGAGCACCACAGGATGAGAGTTCAGATGAGAATGTAAAGAAAACGCAGATGCTGGGGTGTGGCAGCTGGTAGAGTGCTATCTACCATACGCGGAGCTGGGTTCCACTGTGACACCCCATAAACCAAGTGTAACGCTCCACACCTGTAATTCTAGTACTTGTTACATGGAGTGGTTGGTCTGGACTAGATGAGACCCTATCTCTAGATAAATAGATAGATAGATAGATAGATAGATAGATAGATAGATAGATGATAGACAGACAGACAGACAGACAGAGATAGACCGACAGACAGACAGACAGAGAGGCCAGGGAGATGGCTCAGTGGGTAAGGTACTTGCTGCCAAGCCTAGCAATTGAGTTCAATTCCCTGGGACTCACATGATGAAAGGAGAGAGCCCATAGGTTGTCCTCTGACCTCCACATGTGTGCTGTGGCATGTGAGTTCAGAGCTGCACATATGTACCCCCCCATACACACACACAAAGAAACACATGTAATTTTAAAAATAAATAAATTAGCTAACTAAGACAACCAAAAAGCAGCTGATGATGGAACACAATCCACACTGTACCCCAGGCTATGGAGAGGTGTGTGGTCAACACTTGGCCCCTGCTTAAAGCTAAGCCCTCCTAATGGAGAGCACTCGGCCCTCCTGCAGAACTAGCTGGTCACACAGCCCTCCCTGGGAGGGCACAAAGCAAGAAGGAAGGACATCCCACAGCACTAGCCTGGGCTACGGTGCGAACTGAGAAGAGGCGACAGAGAGAGATCTGTGGCTAGGCTGGGTGCAGACACGGCCCTTCTGCCTGTCGTAACTCTGCACTGAATTCACAAGACCAGGATATGAAGTAAGAACCCACACCACAGCACGTGGAAAGAGAGAAAAGCTCAGCTGTGAGGTAACACCTTGAACTCTGATGTAAAAGGAAAACACAGGCTGGCACATGCTTGTGTGAAGCTCTGGGTTCTACTCCCAGCCCTGTCATCCCAGCAAAGGGGCGTGCACGGGGTGGAGGCTGGAAGACCGGAAGGTCAAGGTCCTCTTTAGCTACATATGGAGCTCTAGGCTAGCCTGGGTGAGACTTTGTCAGAAGGAAAAAAGAAAACCAGAAAACCAGAAAACGGCAGAGCACTGTGGTGACACACCCCAGCAAGGCCAGTGCCTGGAGATGGAGGCCGGCGGATCAGAACTGCAGGCTCACCCCAGCTACATCACCAAGCTGGAGGCCAGACCCAGGCATTATGGGACCCTGTCAAAAAGGAAAAAGAGGAGGAGGAGGAGGAGGAGGCAGAGGAGAAGAAGGAGGAGGAGGAGTGGTGGCGGTGGCAGTGGCAGCTGGAGAGGTGGCTCAGTGGTCAACAACACGACCACTCCTGCAGGACCTGAACTCAGTTCCCAGTACCCACGTCAGACAGTTCACAACCACCTGCAACTTCAGTTCCAGGGCCCTCTGTGATCTCTTCTGGCCTCACTGGGTACCTACACTCTCTCTCTCTCTCTCTCTCTCTCTCTCTCTCTCTCTCTCTCTCTCTCTCTCTCTCTCACACACACACACACACACACACACTTAAAATAAAATTAGAACCAAGCGAGTGAGATCGCTGGGTCTTGAGACAGCAAAAGCCAGTTTCCAAGAAACCTCCAGAACTCGTGCTACCTTATCCACGTTGGCACGGGTCTTTGCTGAGGTCTCCACGTACTGCACACCCCACTCTTCCGCTTTGCCCCGGGCCTCATCCACGGGCACCTGCCTCCGCTCCTCCAGGTCAGACTTGTTGCCCACGACCAATAGTGGGATTTTATCTTCCTCGGCCTTAACTCGGAGGATCTGTTCCCTATGGGTGAGACATCAAGAACAGTGTGTTTAAGAAAAGCTAAAGAGGAGCCAGTGGACGGCTCAGCAGATAGACCGGTGCTTGCTTCCCAGGATGGCTTGAGCTTGACCCACGAGGTGAGTGGTGAACGACTCCTGGAAGTTATCCGCCAACCTCCACACCACGGATGTGTGACAACCTCCACACCACGGATGTGTGACAACCTCCACACCACGGATGTGTGACAACCTCCACACCACGGATGTGTGACAACCTCCACACCACGGATGTGTGACAACCTCCACACCACGGATGTGTGACAACCTCCACACCACGGATGTGTGACAACCTCCACACCACGGATGTGTGACAACCTCCACACCACGGATGTGTGACAACCTCCACACCATGGCATGTGTGACAACCTCCACACTATGGATGTGTGACAACCTCCACACCATGGATGTGTGACAACCTCCACACCACGGATGTGTGACAACCTCCACACCACGGATGTGTGACAACCTCCACACCATGAATGTGTGACAACCTCCACACCGCATGTGTGACAACCTCCACACCATGGATGTGTGACAACCTCCACACCACGGATGTGTGACAACCTCCACACCATGGCATGTGTGACAACCTCCACACCATGGATGTGTGACAACCTCCACACCATGGATGTGTGACAACCTCCACACCATGGATGTGTGACAACCTCCACACCATGGATGTGTGACAACCTCCACACCGTATGTGTGACAACCTCCACACCATGGATGTGTGACAACCTCCACACCATGGATGTGTGACAACCTCCACACCGCATGTGTGACAACCTCCACACCATGGATGTGTGACAACCTCCACACCATGGATGTGTGACAACCTCCACACCATGGCATGTGTGACAGTGCCCATACACAAACACACAAATAAAGTGGCTTTAGTTTTGTTTTGTTTTAAAGCTAGCATAAGCATAAGAACTCAGCTTTACACATAGCTGGTAGTGTGCCTTGGTGTTTACAAGCATATCTAAAAAGCCTGGCTAAGGAACAAGAGAAATCGCTCCATTTGGGGAGTATTTTAAAATGAGTCTCTACTGGCACGGGCTTTCCTAGGCTAGCCCTCAGCTTCCCCCCACCATGATCATCTGGTCTCTCTCCACCTGCAGACTTCTCTATCCCACACTCCTACAAAAGAGATGTCCACACAGGAGGCCAGGAGTCTGCATCCCAACAGGGTTTCCAATTTATGGGGAAAAAGAAAAAGGTGGAGAGGGAGAGGAGAAGGAAGGGAGGGGACCCTCTGGGAATCTCAGGAATGAAGACAAATTAAAAGGGGCTGGAGATGTGGCCCAAGGCAGGGTGCTTGCCTTGCAGGCACAGAGCCCCAGGTTCCATCTCCAGCACTCTCTAGATGGGGCATGGTGGTACATGCCTGTAATCCCAGGACTCAGTAGAACCAGAAGTCTCAGGGTCATCTTGGCTACATAGTAAGTTTAAGGCTAACCTGGGCTACATGAGACGTTGCCTTAAAAAAAAAAAAAAAAGGCAAAACAAAAAACCCAGGGTCTGAGAGATGGTTCAGTGGTTAAGAGCAACCTGGTTTGCTTCCCAGCACCCACATGGTAGCTCACAACTGTTTGAAACTCCAGTTCCAGGGTTCTGATGCCCTCTTCTGGATTCTGCAGGCTCTGCGTGTACATGCTGCACAGACATATGTGCAGGCAAAACACCCATGCACATAAAACAAATAAAACAAAAACCTCATCAAACTCAAAGCAACAGCTCACAAAAATGCTTAATAATTCTAATATAGGAATTGGAGAGTAAAAAGGCAGTGTGCACATGTACTCTGTTTTATCCTCAATGGCCTCAAAATCAGACTGTGAAGAGGACACAGTTGTGATCACAAGAGTACTATCCACATGGAAACTTCCTGATAAGATAAAGAAATCTACAAACAGAGGCAACTGTTCACGCTGAGACCTCTCTGTCCATCAGTCTCCTCCATATACACACCACAGTTGCAGAAAACCAGACCTTCAGCTCTATGGAGGTCTGAGACCACAAGCACTAGAGGTCCTACCTTATCATCTGCCTGCTCTACTAGACTGGCTGAGTTCAGCCCCTGACGCCTCCCCGGCTCACCAGGGCCACCCTCAAACTCGTGGGAAACGTTTAGCTGACTCTCTTTACCTTTGGTGAATCATCTGGTTTTGTATCAAGAAAGAACTTGTTGAAGCATGGTCTGGGAGCTATGGCAATGACTCAGAGAGAAGGGGGCTTGGCACCGAGCCTGAATGCCCGAGTTCGATCCCTGGAACCCACCCACATGGTAAGAGAGAACCCACTTCAGTCTTCTCCTGACCTCCACACACTCCCTGTAGCACAAATACACACGTCTGTGCTCCCCATACTCTCACACACTCACACAGTGGTTGGAGACGATGGCTCAGTAGTCAAGAGCACTGACTGCCCTTCTAGAGGACCCAGGTTCAATTCCCAGCACCCACATGGTGGCTCACAACCTTCTGTAACTTCAGTCCCAGGGGATCCAATGTCCTCTTCTGGCTTCCACAGGCATCAGGCATGGATGTGGTACACAGATAAATACACATGCAGCTAAACCCCCATACACATAAAATAAATAAAAATAAAAGTAAGCTGGGTGTGGTGGCACACACCTTTAATCCTAGCACTCTGGAGGCAGAGGCAAACAGATCTCTGAGTTCAAGGCCAGCCAGGTCTACACAGAGGCTGTCTTGAAAAACCTAGATAAATAAATAAATAAATAAATAGATAGATAGATAGATAGATAGATAGATAGATAATAAATAAATGAATCAATCAATCAATCAATCTTTTAAAAAAGATATCTTCAGAAATCCTAAAACATGGATGCACAAAGAGATGGACGCAATGGTGGATCAAAGTGTACCAAGATTCAGAAAACCCTGTGGCTGAGTTCTTCCTCATCATGGGCCCAACATCTCCACTCTGCTCAACCCCAGATCCCTCGAAGCCTCGGCCCTCCTGGCAGGGAGTCAAGGACCCAGCTCTGCTCAAACACACCTGAACTCGGCTGTGGCAGTGAAGGACTCGTGCTCAGTGATGGAGAACACAAGCAGGAAGCCCTCCCCGCTTCGGAAGTAATTGTCTCGGATGGCTGCATAGTCCTCCTGGCCGGCTGTGTCCAGAATGTCTATCTGGACCTCTTCTCCGTCGAGGACCACCTTCTTCCTGTAACTGTCGGCTTTGGTGGGTTCATAGTCTTCTACAAACTGGAAAAAACAGAATTAAGGAGTATAGCAGGCCCCTGATTCTACATCTGAATGCTTTAAGATCAGCTTTGCACTGGCTGAGAGCCTGGAGTCACTGCATCCTGGAGGAGACACTGAAGAATACAAACCTTCCTTCCTTCCTTCCTTCCTTCCTTCCTTCCTTCCTTCCTTCCTTCCTTCCTTCCTCCCTCCCTCCCTCCCTCCCTTCTGAGACAAGGCCACACTATGTAGCTCAGGCTGGTCTTGAACTCCTGAGCCTTCCAAATGCTGGAACTACAGGCAACCCCTCCATGCTTGGCAACCCTCCCTTTCTTGATAGCTCTGGGTTCTTTTTTTTTTTCTTCTTTTAAGGCTTTCAACAGTAGAGGCAGGACAAACAAGGAAAAGGTCAGAGACGGGAGCCTGTACTCATAATGAACAGAAGTATAAAAATCATACCGAAGGAATTTGGCGAGAGGAACCAGAAGCTTAGAGTAAAACCAGCAGGGGGCTGGGAGATGGTTTAGTGGGTAAAGTGCTGACGAGCAAGCATGAGGACCTGAGTTCGATTCCCACATACTACATTTAAAAACAACAAAAAAAGTCAGAGGCTGGGGTGATGGCTCAGCAGTTACGAGTACATACTGCTCGCCTAGAGGACCCAAGTTCAGTTCCCAGCACCCTCGAGTGGCTCAGAATTGTCTGTAACTCCAGCTCCAGGGCTGTCCAATGCCTGCATGAGCACCCACACTCACATGCACATACCCACACAGTTACACACGGGCACACATAACTAAAAATAATAAAAATAAATCTTAAAAAAAAAAAAAGCAGACACGGGAGTAGTACATGCTTACAATCCCAGTGCCGGGATGTGAAGACAGGCGGACACCGGAGCCCACTGGCCAGCCAAGCCCAGCCTACTCAGTGAGCCCCAGGCAACGAGAGATCTTGTCTCAAAAAACATGGTGGGCCATGACTGGGGAACATTACCTGGAGGTGTTCTCTCACCTCCAGAGGCACATAAGCACCTACACACACATGCATGTTCACCCCCCCACACATGCATCTGCATACATGAACATGCACGTACACATGTAAATTATGAAATAAACAAATCCAGTCCAGCACTGAAAGTGGACCTGGTGAGGACCTTATTACCTTGAAGTAGAGAAGGCCTTTTTTAACTATGACTCAAAGTCCAGAAGCCATGTAAAAAGAAATTGATAAATTAGATTCCCAAGAATGAAGGACAAGGGAGGTTCAACAGAGCACGGCAAACGCAAGCGCTGACAGATGAGGACCACGGTGCAGAGCGCTCTCTCCTCCCAAACATCCTCGGGCCGGGGAGGCATCCCCATCCACAGAGGACCTCAGAACCACACAGATGGAGAGAGGCCCCCTCACTAGCTCAAAAGGAAGGGGGGAGAGGAGAGAGGGAGGGAGGGAGGGAGGGAAGGAAGAGAGCAGGAGGAAGGGAGACAGCTATTCTGAGACACAGGCTTAAGGGGAGACATTTTTGCTCTCTGTGGGACAGGGACAGGACCATCCCACAGGGAAGGATTTGTCAACATCCGGTAAAGTGAGTACTTTCTCCTCTGTTCCACCCGCCCCCCACACTGCTTCTAGGAATCTAATCTCAGAAATGCTGGCCCAAAACCACGGAAGTCACCGTGGACCAAGTGGCATCACAGAAGACGGTCTATTCAAATGCTCAGCAAAAGCGGGCGACACAGCAAAATGCTATACTACTGCAAAAAAGGAGACAGGAACTAGACACAGGCATGCAGAAAAACCTAGAACACAGCGCGTCCTGCAGAGGGTCACTGGGGAGAGTAGAGATCGTTATGTATGTACATAGGGATGTATCCACAAAAAGACAACGAATTCAAAAGCTGCTAAAAAGAAAGATAGAAGCAAATTAGCCTTCCTAAATGTTTATTTGGTAATGAAGACACACAGAAAAAGCTAACCAATTTATGAGACTTTAACAAACTGTGTGTGTGTATGTGTGTGCGCACTGCTACAGTACATTACAAATGTGGAGTGAGTGTGTGTGTGTGTGTGTGTGTGTGTGCACTGCTACAGTACATTACAAATGTAGAGTGTGTGTGTGCGTGTGTGCGCGCGTGTGTGCGTGTGTGTGCGTGTGTGCATGTGAGCACTGCTACAGTACATTACAAACGTGGAGTGTGTGTGTGTGTGTGTGTGCGCGCGTGTGTGTGTGTGTGTGTGAGCACTGCTACAGTACACTACAAACGTGGAGTGTGTGTGCATGTGTGTGCATGTGTGTGTGTGCACGTCTGTGTGTGTGTGCGTGTGTGCGTGTGTGTGTGTGTGTGTGTGTGTGTGTGTGTGAGAGCACTGCTGCAGTACATTACAAATGTGGAGGTCAGAGGACGAGCTCAGGCGTCAGTCTTCATCCGCACCTTGTTTTTGCGGCAGGGTCTCTCTTCCTTTCACTTGCCACTGTGCACATGCGGGGCTGGCTGGCCCAGGAGCTTCTGGAGTCTCCCATCTGCACCTCTGACCTTTCCACAGAAGTGCTGGAGTTACAGATGCTAGTGCAGCCAGTTTTCACACAGGCTCTAGGGTTCAAGCTTAGGTCCCCATGCTTGCAGGGTGATTCCCGACACGTGCACGGTGACTGCCCACGCTTGCATGGTGACTGCCCACGCTTGTAAGGTGACTGCCCACGCCTGCATAGTGACTGCCCACGCCTGCATGGTGACTGCCCATGCTTGCACAGTGATTGCCCACGCTTGCATGGTGACTGCCCACGCCTGCATGGTGACTGCCCACGCTTGTAAGGTGACTGCCCACGCCTGCATGGTGACTGCCCACTCTTGTAAGGTGACTGCCCACGCCTGCATGGTGACTGCCCATGCCTGCACGGTGACTGCCCATGCTTGCACAGTGATTGCCCACGCTTGCAGGGTGACTGCCCACGCTTGTAAGGTGACTGCCCATGCTTGTAAGGTGACTGCCCATGCTTGCACGGTGATTGCCCACGCCTGCATGGTGACTCCTGACACTTGCATGGTGATTCCCGACACGTGCATAGTGACTGCCTTACCCACTGAGCCGTCTCAGCCAGGCCCAGCACTCGAGAGCTGAGGCAGGAGGACTGCAAGCTTTGGGCCAGCCTGAGCAATCTAATGAGACTGTGCCTCAAAATACACCCCCACGATGCTCTTGCCAGCACCCTAACTGAACTCAGTGGGTCACACAAAACAGACATGAAAATAGATGGGAGACTTTCTAGGACTAAGACGTGAGAGCAGGAAGTGAGGTAAGAGACAGTGATGAGGAATGTATAATGTATAATAATGTATGATAAGAGACAGTGATAGGTAATGAATATGATCCAAACAGATTATGCACATATACGAAACTGTCAAGGAATAAATTTGAAATATGTTTTAAAAAACAAAAAATGAGGGATAGAAGCGGGCCGGTGGTGTTGAGCACCTTCAATCCCAGCACTTGGGAGGCAGGAGCAGGCGGATCTCTGAGAGGCCAGCCTGGTCTACAGAGTGAGTTCTAGGACAGCTAAGGCTACCCATAGAGAGCTTGTCTTAGAAAACCAAACTGAGGTCTGGAGAGATGGGTGAGTGACCAAGAGGACTTCCTGCTTTTGCAAATCTCTTCCAGGAGATGCGATGCCTGCATCTGACCTCCATGGTGGCCAGGCACACGGGCAAAATATTCAAATACATGAAATAAAACCACATTGACATAGATAAATTAATTTTAATTATTTTTTATTATATGCATGTGTGTCTGTGTGTGTGCGCGTGTGCACATGAGTGCTGGTGTCTGTAGAGGTCAGAAGGGATGTCAGATCCCCTTGAGCTGGAGCTGTGAATCACCATGAGGGGGCCGGGAATTGAACCCAAGTCCTCTGGAAGAGCAGCCAGTGCTCATAACTACGGAGCCATCTCTCCAGTCCCCCAAGTAAATAAATTAGCCAATTAACTAAAAATAAGAAGTTACAGATTTGAAAGTGGCTGGGCATATATACAGCTCAGTGTCACAGTGCTACCCTGGCATGTGTGAGGCCTTAGGTTTAACAACTAGTACCTCCCCATCCCCCCAAAAAAGAGAAGAAAAAACTGAAAAGAAGGAGACGACGGCCCAGCAGGAAAGATCACTCACTGCTCTTCCAGACGGTCTGAGTTTGGTTCCCAGCACCCACCCGAGGTGCCTGGCTCACCACCACCCGGAACTCCAGCTGCACGTCTGAAGCCTCTCTGGCTCTCAAAAGCATGTGCACTCACATCACATACCCAAATACATATACTTACCCGAACACAGATACACGTAAATGTCACATGCCCGAACACAGATACATGTAAATGTCACATACCCAAACACAGATACATGTCAATAAATAAATTGTTTTTTCACAAAAAGGAAAGAAAAATTAATAGCTAAGCAGATGAGAAGAACTGGAGAACACAAGAGAGGGTATAACTGGACTTCTTACGCAGTGCATGTAAAATGTAAGGACTAATTCAAAACAGAGCAATGATCTAGATATGAACTAAAATGGAAACTCAGAAAGACACACGGGAGCAACCCTTCATGAGTCTGGCCCTGAAGATGGATGCTCAGGACTGGCACCAGAGCACAAGTAACAAAGGAGAAATAAACTGGGGGCCAGGAGACAGAGGTGCTCCATCCCTGTGGCTCACACACCGGAGGAAGAGAACTGAGTCCTGCAAGTTTTCTTCTGATCTCCACATGCACTTCCCCATGGAAACACACACACACACACACACACACACACACACACAACTGGATTTCACTAAAACTTAAAACTTCCAGGGCTGTAGAGATGGCTCAGCAGTTGATAGCTCTGGCTGCTCTCAGGGGACCTGGGTTCAATTCCCTGCACCCATATGGCATCTCAACTTGCTGTGTACAACTCCAGTTCCAGGAAATCCAACACCCTCTTCTGGCCTCTGTGGGTACTACATGCATGTGGTGCACAGACATCCATGCAGGCACAACACCAATACACATAAAGTCATGAAGTTTTGTGAAAATGTAAAACTTGGACAAACCAAAGGGCAATATCAGAAATGAGAAGGGCAGGCCAGAGCGTGGGCATAGTATTTGTGCTGGAACACTTGGTCCCCAGCCGGGGGCGCCGTTTGGGAAGGTTGTGGAACTGTCAGGGGACAGAGCCTTTCAGGAAGAAGTGGGTCACCAGAGGTTGGGGTTTTCTAGCCTGCCCCACTTCCTGCCCACTCTCCGCTGCCTGAGTGTGGCTGCAGTGTGAACAGCCCCCCACCCCCCGCCCCCCGGCCGCCTTCCCCAGGACGTGTGGGACAAAACAAGCCCTTTTTCTGTGAGTGGCTCTTGTCATGGTTTACTATCACAACAGGAACATACCCCGGACATTCATTATTCCACACTTTGGTTTTTTCACATGGGGCTGTGCTATGCAGCCCAGGCAGGCCTCAAACTTGTGATCCTCCTGCCTCAGCCTCTTGGGTGCTGGAATTACAGGTGTACGCCACCACACCTGCTTGGATTGTACATGATGAAAGAGTGAATTTGGGGCCACCCGATGGTTTAGTGGGTGCTTGTCTCTAAGCCTGAAAAGTTGAGTTAGGAGAGACCCAACTCTTCCATATCGTTCTCTGACCTCCAGTGTGCTGTGACATGCACACATACATGCAGACATATACAATCATAAAACATCTAGACAAGGCTCTCCTAGTCTCTCCCATGTCTGAGGCTATGATGAGAACAGCTTTTAGACTTCAACAGGATTCAGGCTCAGCATGAACTTGATCTCAGATTTGGCACAATGCCTCAATCACCAGAACGTCGGGAATCTTCTCTCCTGTTCTCCACAGCTCTGCCTCGGCTCTGATTTATCTCTACCTAAACTCCAGGCTGAAACCTGGCTGCCAATGTAAGAGTTAAGAAGGACCAGAGTTGGAGGGATGGCTCATTCAGTAAAAGTGCTTGTCTTACAACCACCAGTCCTGGGTTCAATCCCAGACCCCCTATATGAAGCTGGGCATGGTGGTGTGTTCTTGTGATCTCAGTCCTGGGAGATGGAGACAAGCCATCCCAGGTGCTCATGGGCAGTCAGGCCAGCCTCAGAGAGCACCAGGACAGAGACCCTGTAATCAGACATTTCTCTCCTGTCAGCCTGTTCCCAATAATTGACTCAGAGACTTAATATAAATTATAAATGCTCAGCCAATGGCTCGGGCTTATTACAGCTCTTACACTTTAAGTTAGCCCATATTCCTTATTTACACTCTGCCACGTGGTGGTACCTTTTCTCAGTACAGCATTCTCATCTTGCTCTCTGAGGTTTCCCAGCGACTCTGACTCCACCCTTCCTCTTCCCAGAATTCTCCTAGTCTGGCTCTCGTGCTCAATCTTTCCCAGCTATCGGCCAATCAGCTTTATTTATTAACAATGAACATAATCCACAGCAAGACCCTATCTCAAAAATCAAGGTAGACAGTTCCTGAAGAACGACAATTAAGGTTGTCCTCTGGGCTTCCATATCTCTGTGGACTTACAAACACACACACTAGTACACACACACACACACACACACACACACACACACACACACACACAGAATTAATGAAAGAGAAAGGATTCACTTTGGCTCATGGTTTTAGAGGTTTCGCTCCCCAGTTCTTAGGGGCCTGTGGTGAGGCAGATGATGGTGACGAGAACACACAGCAGAAACCAGGAAGCAGAGAAAAAACAGGATGGGGCTGGGATGCTAACACCTCTTTCTAAGGACACTTCCAGTGACCTGACTTCCTCTGGCTGAACTCTGCTTCCTAGGGTGCTGTAGGCTGAGGGTAAGTTCTTCAGCACAGGACCCCTTAGGAGACACTCAAGACTCAAACCATAGCACCTGAGGCCGGGGAGTAGCTCGGCTGGTAGAGCGCTCACCTCTCACCCACAAAGCCCCTCCATCCCCAGAGCCTCACAAACCAGGTAAGGTGGCACATGCCTATCAACCCAGCAGGGGAGGTGGGAGGATCAGAAGTTCAAGGTCATCCTTGGCTACACAGTGAGTTCCAAGCCAGCCTGGGCCATTTGAGACTCTGTCTTTAAAAATTAGAGTTGGGTTGGGCGGTCGTGGCGCACGCCTTTAATCCCAGCACTCGGGAGGCAGAGCCAGGCGGATCTCTGTGAGTTTGAGGCCAGCCTGGGCTACAAAGCGAGATCCAGGACAGGCACCAAAACTACACGGAGAAACCCTGTCTCGGTGGGGAAAAAAAATAGAGTTGGAGTTGGAGAGATGAACCAGTGCCGAGTACCTGCTGCCCTTGGAGCTGACAGGAGTTTGGTTCCCAGAACCCACACTGAGCAACTCACAACGGCCTATAACTTCAGGTCATCTGACGCCCTCCTCTGGCCTCTGAAGGCAACTACACTCTTCTACACACCCCACCCACCCCCATATACTCATTTTTCCACATACACACAAATTAAAATAACAAAAACTTAAGCTATAGCACCTATACAGAGGTCTCTCTCTTCCCATGCTCCTGTCACAAAGAAAGCACCCAGAACACTGATAACACAGCATGTGGAGAGACGCCTTCCATTCCCACTTCAGCTAAAATCACTGCTGTATCAGCAGCTGGAATCTCCTGCTGAGACTCCTTCCTTGAAGCTATTTAAAAACTCCAAGGACAAAGGGGGAGTGGACACAGAACACAGCTGAAGCGGCCACACACAAAGACGCAGCGGGCACAGTCACTCGGGAAGGCGTGCGGCATCTCTTACCTCGTCATACATGAACTGGAGCGTCAGCGCCGACTTGCCGACCCCTCCACTGCCAACCATGATGACCTTGTGAAGTGCCAGGGAGCCCTGGCTCTTGCCCTTGTTGGCGGCCATCCTGCTGGTCTGAGGCGATGACACACGGACAGACGGCCCAGATGGAGAGCTACAGGTGACAGAGACAGGAACGGAAAGATGGTGGGCCTTCCGTCCAGCTGAAATCAAATGACACCTGCCATTGCCACACTTTAACATTCACTTTTAAATTACGTGCACGTGTGTGTGTGTGTGGCGGGGGGTTGTGCACAAGTGTAGAACCCTCAGAGACCAGAAGAGGATGTCAGATCCTCTGGGGCTGTTGGTAGGGGGCAGTCAGTCCTCTCAGCCCTCCCCTGCACTTCACAAACACTCAACCTGGAGAGGAAGGCTGGGACGGCTACAACTCTGAAGTCACTTACCCGAGGGGAGCCAGGAGAGGGCAATGCTGAGAAAGGAGAGTGGAAGGGACGCCCCAAGCCTGCACCACTAGGGAGGGTGGCCTGGGGCTCAGGCCTTTCCTCCCAGCACTCAGGAGGCAGGGACCCTCGCAGTGTCAGCACTGGATAGGGGGCGGCAGGTGAATGCCTGGGCTCGGTGGCCTGGTAGTCTAGTCTACTGTGTGAAGTTCCAGACAACGAGACTGCCGAAAAGTAGAAGGCGCCTGAAGACTGACAGGCTGTCTTCCGGCCTCCCCATCTCCCACCTCCCCATCTCCCACCTCCCCATCTCCCACCTCCCCATCTCCCCACCTCCCCATCTCCCCATCTCCCACCTCCCCACCCCCCCCACCTCCCCACCTCCCACCTCCCCACCCCCCCACCTCCCCATCTCCCACCTCCCCATCTCCCCACCTCCCCATCTCCCACCTCCCCATCTCCCCACCTCCCCATCTCCCACCTCCCCATCTCCCACCTCCCCATCTCCCACCTCCTACCTCCCCATCTCCCACCTCCCCATCTCCCACCTCCTACCTCCCCATCTCCCACCTCCTACCTCCCCATCTCCTACCTCCTACCTCCCCATCTCCCACCTCCTACCTCCCCATCTCCCACCTCCCCATCTCCCACCTCCTACCCCCATCTCCCCACCTCCCCATCTCCCACCTCCTACCTCCCCATCTCCCACCTCCCCATCTCCCACCTCCTACCTCCCCATCTCCCACCTCCCCATCTCCCACCTCCTACCCCCATCTCCCCACCTCCCATCTCCCACCTCCCCATCTCCCACCTCCCCACCTCCCCATCTCCCCACCTCCCCATCTCCCACCTCCCCATCTCCCACCTCCTACCCCCATCTCCCCACCTCCCATCTCCCACCTCCCCATCTCCCACCTCCCCACCTCCCCATCTCCCCACCTCCCCATCTCCCACCTCCCCATCTCCCACCTCCTACCCCCATCTCCCCACCTCCCATCTCCCACCTCCCCATCTCCCACCTCCCCACCTCCCCATCTCCCCACCTCCCCATCTCCCACCTCCCCATCTCCCACCTCCCCATCTCCCACCTCCCCATCTCCCACCTCCCACCTCCCCATCTCCCACACAGTTTTAAAATGACAGCAGCCCCCACGGAGCTTCCCGAAGGTGAAGTGGGTGAACTGTTCAAGTTTCTATCCCGAATACTCCTGAGTCAGACAGGTGCTATGGGACAGTTCGGGGACTTCAATCTGCGCTCTTCACTCTCACTCCTCTCCTGTTCACGTGCCTCTGCTCCCGACCACCACCAACACACATACACATGCGTGCACGCACACATGACTATCCAAGAAGACTCAGAGTGAGGCAACTTCTCATTTGAAAAACCGAGACTCTAAAGGAGCCATCTTTAAGTAAAGAGCAGAATAGAGGGCTGGTGACATGGTTTAGCAGATAACAATGCTTGTCACCAAGCAAGACAGTGTGAGCTCAGTCCCCAGGACCTGCACAGTTAAGGAGATAACCAATTCCCAGAAGTTGTTTCTGATGTCTGTACATGTGCTGTGGCATGGGCATACCCTCGATACACAAAATAAATCACTTTTTTAAGAGAATAGATTAAGGGGCTAGAGAGATGGCTCAGGGGTTAAGAGCACTGGCTGCTCTTCCAAAAGTCCTGAGTTCAATTCCCAGCAACCACATGGCAGCTCATAGACATCTGTAATGAGATCTGGTGCTCTCTTCTGGCCTGGAGGGAAACATGCAGGCAGAACACTGTATACATAATAAATAAATAAATCTGAGAGAGAGAGACAGAGAGAGAGACAGAGAGAGAGAGAGAGAGAGAGAGAGAATGAGAATAGATTAAAAGAGTCAGGTCTGGTGGTGCATGCCTTTAACCTAGCCTTGTTTACAAAGTGAGCTCGAGGCCATCCACAGACACAGTGAGAACCTGTCTCCCGAAGTGAGGGAGTGTAGAGGGGGAGGGAGACGGAGACACAGGGACGGGACTGGACTGGAGTTGGCTCAGCAATTAAAGCACTGGCTGGGGGCTGGCGAGATGGTTCAGTGGTTAAGAGCCCTGGCTGCTCTTCCAGAGGACCCAGGTTCAATTCCCAGCACCCACATGGCAGCTCACCACTGTCTGTAACTCCAGTTCCAGAGGATCTAGCACCCTCACACAGAATATATACAGTCAAACCCCAGTGCACATTAAATATAAATAAACCTTTAAAAAAAAAAAAAAGCACTGGCTGATCTTCCAGCAGACCCGGGTTTGATTCCCAGCACCCACAAGGGGGCGCACAGCTGTCTGTAACTCTAGTCCCAGGGGATCTGATGGCCTCTGCAGGCACCAGGCAAGCACACAGTACACACATGTACAAGCAGACAAAACATCCACATGCATAAATCAAATTAAAAAAAAACCTTTTTTTAGGCAGAGGCAGGAGGATCTCTGTGAGTTTGAGGCCAGCCTGGGCTACAGAGTGAGATCCAGGAAAGGCACCAAAGCTACACAGAGAAACCCTGTCTCGGAAAAAAAAAAAAAAAGACAACCGAGAGGCTCCTTGGTCACCAGAGCCCAGCTGCAGGGGAGATTTCCCTAAAAAGCTGCAGCCAGAGCCAAGCAACTACCACGCAAAGCATGCTACGGCCTGAGATACACGGAAAGCCTCAGAACCTCTCTGTGAAGGAGGCAAAACTCACGGCTGGAAGCAGCACACACTCGCCGTCCCGGCCTCCAGCACCAGGGTACAAACAGAAGTCAGCACACGCCCACAGAGGGCTTCTCGGATACATGTCATAGAACATGATCACCTCTAGAGACAAAACAACCCCTGAGGAAACGGACGTCATTGAAAGACCTGATGGACGAAGCAGGAGTAATAATCCCAGCACACCAGAGGACAGAGGAAAAAATCTTCAGCATGTAAACCCTCCAAGGCTAGCCTGGGGTACATATGACCCTGTCTAAACTTAAGAAAAAGAAATTAAAGTCAGGTGGACTTGAAAAAGAATTACTCAGAATGCCTAAAACACTGTGTATGCATGTATAGTGTGAGTGTATGTGTGCATATGTGTGTGCATGTATATGAACAGTATGTATGTGTGTGCATGTGTATGTCTATGTGTATAGCGTTTGTCTGTATGTACAGTGTGTTCATGAGTGTATGTATAGTGTGTATGTGTGCATGTGTATATGCATATGTATGCATGCAAGTATGTGTATATAGTGTGTTCATGTGTGTATAGTGTGTGCATGTGTGTATGTTTGAGTGCATGTGAATGTATGTATATGCATGTATATGTGTGTTGTGTATGTATAGTGTATGTGGATATATATAGTATGTGTGGTGTATGTACAATATGGGTAGTGTGTTTGTGTGTATATAGTATGTGTATGCATGTATGTGCAGTATGTGCATATGTATGTATGTGTATATATATGTATAGTGTATATATGTGTTATAGTGTGTATAGTGTCTGCATGAGTTTGTATATGTGTGTACACGTGTGTGTGATAGAGCGTGTGTGTGTGTGTGTGTGTGTGTGTGTGTGTGTGTGTGTGTGTGTGTGTATAGTGTGTATGCATAGAATGTGGAGGCCAGAGGTTGACATCAGGTATTTTTGTAATTCTCCATCATGTTTTTTTTTAATTATGTGTATGTATGTGTGTGTCTATCTTGTGTATGCCACAAATATGTGGGTGCCCTCGGAGGCCAGAAGAGGGCATCTGATCCCCTAGAGCTGGAGTTACAGGCAGCTGTGAGCCGCCCCACCTGGGCGCTGGGAACTGAGTGGGGTCCTCTGGGAGAGCAGCAAGCGCTCTTAACTGAGGAGCCAGCTCCTTGGCTCCTCAACCTTTTTAAAAATTATTTTACATTTTGAGACAGGGTCTCACTCTAGCCCTGACTGGTGTGGAACCCTTATATAGACCAGGCTGGCTTTGAACTCACAGAGATCCCCCTGCCTCTGCGTCTGTCTTAGTTACTTCTCTATTGCTGTGATAAAACACAATGACCAAGGCAATTTATAGAATGAAGGGTTTATTGGTCTCACGGTCCTGAGGGATAAGAGTCCTTCATGGCAGGAAGCAGAGCAGCAGGCGGCAGGCACAGGGGCTGGAACAGAAGGTGAGGGCTCACGGCTTGAACCACAGGAGGAGGCAGACAGTGAACGGGAAAGGGCGCAAGCTGATGTCTGTCTGTTTGTTTGTTGTGTTTCAAGACAGGGTTTCTCTGTGTAGCCCTGGCTGTCTTGGAACTTGCTCTGTAGACCAGGCTGGCCTTGAACTCAGAGATCCATCTGCCTCTGCCTCCTAGGATTAAAGGCTGAGTCCCCACACCTGGCCACTCACCTTCATCTTTTGAGACAGGGTCTCTCACTGAACCTGGAGCTCACTGTTTCTACTAAGCTGGCTGACTGGAAAGCTCAAGGGAGCCGTCTCCACCACCCAAGCATTAGCCATGTGGCCGCCGTGCCTAGCTCTTACAAGTGTTCTAGAATCAAAATGCCGGCCGGTCTTCACCCCTGCACAGAAATCCTATCTAACTGAGCCAACTCCCAAGCTGTGTTCTTTGTGGGCATTGTTTCGTTTGCTGGAGCGATGTTGGTTTTTGTCTTCTTTTGTGACAGGGCTTCACTGTGTCACTCAGGCTAGCCTGGAACTCAGGATTCTCCCCCCTTCAGCCTCCTGAGTGCTGGATTACAG